TGGGAGAGTGACAGGGGGCATCAGGGGGCTTGTGCAGAGCACCCCCATGCAGTGGGGGGCAGTGGGGGGCAGTGGGGGGCAGCAGGGTTTGTCCTCCACCTGGTAGCACCCGCTGAGTTGGGGCTTTTTTTTAACAAGTGCCGGGAGCTGGGGCAGCCATTGCCGGGCTGGGAGAGAGGCGGGGGATGGGCCTGGCCTGACAGATTCGGCTGAATCGAATCAGGACAGTGATCTGAATCACCCAATTGAATCACTGTCCCCCAAATCAGCCAAATTCACAGCGAATACTAGCTGCTTCACACAGGCCTAATATCTGGTAACTTCTTTAAGGTTCTGCAAGGAGTTTGCACCAGGGGCTGGAATTGAACACAGACATCTTGTATACCAGGCCAGTACCATAAGCACAAAAACATCCTTCTTGCATATTAATACAGGAAGAGCAGGCCTGAAGGTGTCAAGGAATGACTAGTCTAAATTAGTTCCAGAAGATTAACATCCCAGCAAAACACTGGGCATATTTTAGAAACAGGTATCTGACCATGGCTGGGATTTTGTTTCTCTGGCAGACCAAACCACTGATAATCCCAACATCTTGCTGTCAGATGGCACTGCTTGTCTGCAGATCAGAGCTTTACAGAAGAGTATCATGATAGCTTTTTTACAGATGGAAAAACTGAGGCACAGAGCTCTGAGATGACTTGCCTAGGAGACCAGCAGCAGAACTGGGATAGAACCCCAGTTCTCACTGGTGTTTTCCACTAGATCACAGTATCATCCCTTTGCAAGTGACATGTTAACAGCCTCTACCCCTTTACTACTAACTATAAGTCTTACTACCCTACCTGGAGTAGACCTGCTGGCTTCAACAGAGCTACTTGTAGTTGTGAGAGTCCTTACAGTAGAGAGATGAGCCCCTGTTGAGATAACTGATGATAAAGCAGCTGTACATGAAGCTCTCTCTAACCCAGTTGGTGGACCTGGTCAGAATCTATTTGACAAAATGCTTTACAGAAATATACAATCTTATCAGTTCCAGTGAAGTTTTTGGGGATCCAGTTTTCTCTGGTTGCTTATGATAACAGCAGAGAGAAGCTCTTACAGTTAATGACTTAGTGTTAAGGCACTAGTGTAGGCTGTAGAAAACTCATGGTCATGCACCTGCTTGCCTCACAATAAGTAGGGATGAAAAACTCTGCTCTGATTCAGGCAGACAAGAGCCTTGAAGGTAAGTTTTTCTCATCTTAGGTCAGTACCTGAATGAATAGGCTACAGAGCAACTGTCTCTCCAAAGCTCTACCTGAATCAACAGTCTCAGGGTTCAGACTGAAAACAGACACTGGCACAATCCAAGTGTCCCAGCAACACTCCTTATATGGAACCAAAGCATATTTTAAAATATCAGAAGCTATGGCAGAATGAAACTGGACTCTACCCAACAGCTTTCTTTGCCTACCCTTCGTGGCTACAGCAGTAACTCTGTGTCCCCAACTACCTTGACTGATCACAAGTCTCATGGTATTACGCAGAGCCATCCTTAGGGAAAATGGTGCCCTGAGTGAACTTGTATTTTGCACTCCCACCCAGTCAGGAATACAGCTGCAGGCAGAGGCAGGTTGGCAGGGGCAAGGGCTCAGTCCAGCAGAGAGGTGGAGTGGCATGGTGTGCCAGGCAGGCAGGTGAGCAGGCACTGCTGCTGCTGTGCAGGAGCAAGGTGGGTGGGCTGGAGCAGGCACCACCCCACCTGCACGTGCCCAGCCCAGTTCCTCCTGAGTAGCAGCTGGAGGTAGTGGGGCAGGGCGGGCTGGGCTGGGCTGGGCACTACTTTTCCTGTCTAGGGTAAGGATCAGCTGGACTGGCAGGGCAGGGTGGGGATATGTTTGTGCATGTATGTGTGTGTTTGGTGCCCCCCTGACTGTAGCACGCTGAGCGGTCACCTATGTTGCCCACCCCTAATACTCTGGTATTATATGTGCTTTCCTTAAAGTCCCCACTCTCCAACCAGGTATTAGATGAGCACCTCAGCCTTCATTAAAAAAAATGTAAGTTCTAGCCTCAGGGACTCAAAAGGCCACATTTGTTATTGTAATTTTGAGGTCAGATGTGAAAGCTTGGATTTGGCAACATTCAAATACAGAAATACGTATTTTCTGAAACATTCCAAAAATCACCTGTGGACTGTGACCAAGCAGGAGCAGGGAGAGTCTGGAGACTTTCTGACTATGAGGGTGGTCAAGCATTGAAACAGGCTACCTAGAGAAGCAATGGGATCTCCATCCCTGGAAATTTTCAGTTTGCATAGACTGGGATGGTTTAAACAGATGATCTTGCCTTGAGCAGGAGACTGAACCAAATTACATTGTGAGGTCCCTTCTAGCTCTGCTTTCCTATGACAGTACCCTATACTACCCACATCAAGCTCTGTCCATCTTGCAAGTCTTATCAGCTGGAATATATTAGCCCAGGCCTTCCCTCAATAGTACACACAAGTTTTCATGAACCCTGTATTTTTGCACTGTCATTTTTGCCTAGTTGTTCTAGGCTACTGTGGCATCAATAATTACACACTGAAAATGTGAGGCAAAATTCAGGGCTTTTTTAGACTCAAGGTCCCCTTAGAAAATTGTCAGCTCTTAGCTTTCACTTATTTTTTGACTGTGGAAAAAATGATAGAGCAATTCTTCTCTGGCAAAGAACTCAACAAAGGCTACAACTTGTCAGAATGTTTTTGACACTATGGATTCCTATTTGAAATCTCTGGGTTTATTTTGTGAATCATATGTAGGTGTTTGCTAATAGTGTGCAGCACACTGTGACACCCTTAAAGGGTTCTCATGGCATCCCAGTGTTGCAGAACCCTGTTAAGAATCACTGCTCTAGGCAGGAACTTGGTTATTCTGTTTTCCTTGGAGAGAAAGTGAGGCCCTGCTCACTGAGGCTCTTTGGAACTAGACCAGATCATGTTTCCTGTGATTCAATAATTCATGTTCTCAATGCCATCTGCAATATGTGCCTTGACATATATTGAATCCAGTGGCAGACTGCCAGGGTCTGTGCCAGCAGTTCCAGCCCAATAACACCCCAACAATGGGAGAGCTGTACAGGCAGTCTGATGAGCTGTGGGCAAAGCTCATGTCTGGCTTGTAGATTGTGAGAAGGTGCTGTGACCTGTACATTGACTCACACTGCTCCCTGAAGTATAGGGTCCTCAAGCCCTGTGCTGGGGTAGCAAAGTAGGCATAGACTCAGAGGACAGAACACTCCCTTCTGAACTCTTCCCTCTGCTCTGTGAACTTTTTCCCTGGTGTAGGATAAATGAAGCAGAATCTCATGTGATCACTTGCCTCCAAGAGCTAGGGATTTAAGTAAAACATCAAATATAGCAGGACTTATAATAGAGTCACAAGAATTGGTGACAGTGGGTAAGGCAAAGAAACAGATGCCAGTAAATGCAACTTCAGACAGTCTGGAGTTTTTACAGAGGAAACTGTGGGGTGTGTTGGGGGGATACTCCGATTTCAAGACAAGGGAAATATCTGCTCTAAGCATGCTTTGGCAAGACAAATGTCACTAGCCCCATTCTGATATGGAGAGTCAGGGCTGCTGCCTTCTGCTCTATTTCCTTCCAGTGGTGCTGAAATCCCAGGCAGGAGCAGTTTTCGTGGCAATTCTGGGCTCCATTTTGGAGGTGTTGATAAGCAGGCACACTGGGTTTTCATAACATTTGAAGCCGTATGGAACTAGGATTTGAATGGAGGCCAAAACCTGAATCAGTACCATCTCCCTATGCCCTTGTGAGTATGCCTGGCACTATGGAAATAGCCTCTCCAACGTGAGGCAGTCCTCCTTGTGGTGCCCCATCACTGCAGCCCTTGGAGGGAACGGTGCAGCAATGAGGTGTGCTGGACATTTGTGTCAGGAGGGAAGCTGACAAGGAGGCAAGGAAAGGAGGGGAAGAAGGGAATGAAACAATGGAAAAAGAGAAGGAAGAACCACAGGCAGAGAAATGTCTTCTTACCACTCCAGCTCCCTTCCTAGCACTTTCCAGCTCCTGGAAGAAGTTTTCCAGCTCCTTGCCTTCAATGTAGCCATTTCCTGCAAGGAAAAACATGTGGTTAGATGTGATTAAGGATTTGATGAGAAGTGGGTTCAGGTGCCAGCACTGTATTCTCTGCAGAGACCCTGTCCCTGGAGCTATGGCACTGAAGCAGCCTTTGTACTTGCATGAAAAAATCAAGTTTCTAGCCTTCACAGCTGAGGAGAGCAGCTTGAATTGCCCTAAGTAACCCAGTCCAGCAACATCTGCCTGAATTTGAAGAGAGCTCGAGTGAACTGTTCTGAGAAAAAGAACTGCCCCATGCATCTCAAGGAGGTGCTAACTCCAAGACCCCAATACTCCAGGGGTTCCCCACATCCCCAGGCCAGCCGGTTACAATGTGTGCATCAGGACTAAGGAGGGAAGAATAAAGTAGGCCCAATCCATCACACAAGCTATGACACCGGGCAGCTGAGAGATCTACTGAATGCCCCTGCTGCCTCCCTGCTTCCCCTAAGGGGAGCCTTGTTTGACTTTAACCCTGCCTCATCTCATGTATTCATGCCTATCACAGATGCAGTGACTGCTGTCAAATCCTCTCACTTCTCTCCAGGCCAGGGCTGGTATTCCAGTTCTGCATTTCATAAAACCTTAGCATGTCAGCTGAAAACCCACAAGGAGGGAAGCAATGATGAAAAACCTATGAAATTTAAACCCATATGCCTTGGCAGCTCTGCTTAAGCCCTGCCTTTTTCCCTTTCTCTCTGAAGGACATACCTGCTCTTCTTCAGCTAGAGCAAGACCCCATGCAATAGCTCCCAAATAGGGAAGCAAAATGATTCTGAGGGCTGCCAGCCCTAGATCACTGACTTTCAAGAGTCAGGGCCTGTGACCCCACCATGTGGCACAGGGACTATCTCCATTTCAAGTTTATGGGATAGAAGTGATCAGTAGGCCTGTGCGAAGCAGCAAGTATTTGCTTCAGATTCAAATTTGGCCAATTCGGAGGGACAGTGATTCGATTTGGTGATTCGAATCACTGTCCCAATTCGATTCAGCCAATTTGGAATTGGAGATTCGGCACCGATTTGGAGATTCAGCCATAGACTATACAGGCAGCAGTCCTCGATGACACTGGACAGAGCTGCCTCCAGCTGGTAAGTATGTTGTGGTGGGCGGAGTGGGGAGGGAAGGGGTGTGGAGGAGACAGATCAACGCCCTCACAGCAAGGGAGGGATTGGGGCAGCTGTTGGGGCAGGGGTGCTGACTTGGGGAAGGGGGGTCCTGCCACTGTGCCCTGATGTGCATTGCCAGTCCAGGAGCTGCTGTTTTGGTGGTTCCTCTGGCAGTTCTCACCACCAATCTGAGGCATAGGAGCGGGCGTGTGCCCCTGGATCTGCATGGGGTGGGCTGGGCTGCACTCCGGATGGGTGGTGAGAGCGGGGGCGCGGGACAGTCCTGCTGTACTGCCTCAGACAAGCGGTGCACAGCAGTGGAAGCCACTCCAACCTCCCCATGTTGCCTGGACAAGCCATGGCTTTTCCCTGCCCCGGCTGGGCGAGCAGCAGCAGGGCATTGGGGCGGGTGCCACACCGGGATTGGGGTGGGGCTGGTGGCAGGGGCTATGGGGAATTTTAGGGTGGGTGCAGACCCCCCCATAGCCTGCACTCCACTGTGTTCTGCTGGGCGAGTGGAGCCAGGGATGCACTCAAGGTGGCAAGCCGCCACTGCCAGGCTGCACTCTGCAGGGTGGGCGGAGCCAGGGCTATGCTCCAGGCTGTGCCTGGGGCTAGCACAGCCCTGGCTCCACCTGCCCTGCAGAGGCCGGTGGTGAGCAGCTGGGGCTAGCCACCTGGAGCGCAGCCTGGCTCAGCCCACTCCACGCAGATCCGGGGACACATGCCTGCACCCATGCCCTTGCAGACCAGCTGTGAGAGCTGCTGAATGGGCCACTGGAAGAGCATCTCCTGGACTGGCAGCGTGAAGCGGCACACAGTGACAGGAGCTCCCCTCCCCAAGTCCCGTGCCCCCCTGTCCTGGCTGGGCAGCTTGTCCCAACCCCAGCCCCAATCCCTCCATTGCTGTGGGGACATTGTTACCTCTCAGCTCTGTGTTCTTGGGGAACCCTGGCACAGTATGCAGCCTGTTTGACTCACAAAGGACTCATCCCCTCTCCACCTCTGCCTGAACAAGAACTGATTAGAGGAAGGACTTACAAAAGACTATGAAGATGCAGTGGGAGACCCATCTAAAGCCTTCCAGGCAAGGGTGATAAGAGTGAAGTTCCCCCGGTCTGATCTGCATCCAAGATGGAACCAGATGACAACTCATTTAACTGGGAGATGGGACAGGAAAGCACCTTCATTAGCATCCAGGATGGAGAACAGAGATTCCAAGAAAAGGACCACACTGAATTCTGGGACCAGAGCGGCAGGGGAGCACTGCATGATGGGGGATCCCTGCTCCAAATGCTAATCAACCCACATCTATAGGCACCCAGCTCAACATTTATCAGACCAATTTTAGTAATGACTCCTTTAGTGGTACCCAAAATACTGAACCTTCCTGTCTGTATTGTGAGCTCCCTCAGAGTAATGCCACCCATAGCCAGGAGTGATCAGTTCCTATTATCCAGCATATGAGCCATCGTTTACCCATAAACAAACCTAGTGCTCTCCCTTGAGCCACTGTTAGTTCTCTACAAAACCCCCTACCCAAGTTCCTGGGGCTTGGATCCAAAAACTGCACCAGTTCCACTCCTTTTCTGCCTGGAATCTCATCATTGATTGTGCTGAGGGCTCTGCCTGTCTGCCAGCTCCAACAACACCTGGGAACTTCGACTGACTGGTTCAAGCTTCGCTGGGTGGTGAGACCCCAACTCTCTCTCTCTCTCTTTCTCCGACTCCAGGAACCTGACTTTTATTCCCTTACTCCAGGCACAACTCCCTAAACCTGACTTTTCTAATCAAAGTTGAACTAGACTTCCCCAAAAACCTAACTGAAACTATGTAATATTGTAACTGTTTTATTTTTCTCTCTTGTATGGCTATTAATACTGGCATCATCATAAGTTCATATACCTGGCAATAAATAACTTTTATGGTCAAGCTGTTTGCTATACTCTCTCTCTGAACCTCACTTACTCTTCCTTCCCCTTGACCTCCCCATTTGATCTGTAGCAACGCTTCTTTTACCTAAGCCAAAGATCCCTGTAATGCCCAAAACTACAGTGGAGTCTGCTCATCAAGGGAGTTACTGCTAGGACCATTGTGACAATAGATTGGGGACATGCTGAGTTTTGAGGCGCATGAGGGTATCAGCTGAAAGTGCTGATTGGCTCAGATATGTTCTGTGAGAGTGTGTGTGTGTGTGTGTGTGTGTGTGTGTGTGTGTGTGTGTGTGTGTGTGTGTGTGTGTGTGTGTGTGTCTAACTGCATTTATTATTGTTCTGCTGACATAAGGAATAAACTGAGTACAAGGCACATGAGGGTGTCAGCCTGTCAATGCTGAATAGTCCAGCCTGACTCAAATGTGCTCTGTAAACCTGTGTGCTTGTGTCTGACTGCATTTTAGTGTTTCCCTGATGAACTGAATTCAAGGCATATGAGGGTGTTAGCCTGTCAATGCTAAATAACCCAGCCTGGCTCAGGCGTGTCCTGTTAATCTGCATGTATATGTGCATATATGTGTTTGATTGATTTGGTGGCTGGAGGAACCCAGCCCCACTGAAACAGTCCTGCAAGATAGCTCCATTGGGGGTGAGGACTTGCAGAAGGGAGAGATACAGCTCTATATATAGAGATACAGCCCAGTGCTCTTCAGGGTACTGAAGGCACTGGCCGACGTCATTGCACAGCCCCTGGGGGGAATA